TATCTTTTTTATAATACCTTATTTTATATATTATAAAATATAATATATTGAGCCACAGAGAACTAGTGGTCTAGAACAACAACAGTAGTAGGAATAATAATAATAATAATAATAATAATAATTGTTATTATTATTATTATTATTATTATTTTCCAGTTTAAAAACCATGGTTCTGATCTCCATGATGTTTAAAAAAGAAAGATAAGAGATGTAGATAGTACATATTTGCACATAAGAATTTGTATATTCTTACCTGCAAAGATTGATTATGTGCCATCAAGTTGTTGTCGACTCTTAGAAATCACACAGATAGATTTTCTCCATGATGACCTGTTTCTAACTTGGTTCTTCAGGTCTTCCAACAGTGCACCAATCCCCACTGTAACTGAGCCCACCCTCTTTGCTGCCGGTTGTCCTCTTCTTCTCTCTCCTTCCACCTTTCCTAGCATTAGAGACTTATCTAGACAGCTAAGTCTTCACATAATGTGTCCAATGGAGGATAATTTACCCAAAAAGAGCTAGAAGGGAATCTCCCTATTCTTGCATAATCTGTACTCTGCAAGGACAATCGGAATAGATTGTAATCACAAGGCAGGTTGTAATCTGAATACATCTACCAGTATCAAGTTGAGGAAATCTGCTATTGATCAACAGAGACACAGAATTGTATTTATTCATTTAAATACAAACATTTAAATACACAAACTCCACTGCATATTTTATCCAGCTATTTGCCAAACTTAGAATCTCATCAGTGTTTGGATGAAAGAACACTGTGCATTTCTTAGTATGCTATCATGGCAGAATAAACATAAGTGGGATAGAAAGAGGTGAATTTTTTTTTAAAAAAATGTGTCAAACAGGATCATATCAATCCAATACAGCACTCTTCTTTCTCTTGGGAAAATCCTCACGTCCCTCCCACCATGGCACATGATGCCCTGCACACCATTTGTAAAGAGCATATCCTCATGACTGTGCCTTCATCACAATTGCAGCACATCATGGAGGTAGATCAAAATTGTATTTAGCTGTCCATTTCTAAAATGGCGTTTTTCCTCTTTTCCCAACAAATTTTGCATGGATATCATCTACAGTGCTTCTTTGCTGATGTGGTTGTTGATGTCAGCAGGGCTGGGATCTGTCCAGTTCTTGCTGTAGCTACTCCCCCTCCCCTCCTGTCACTGGGCACAGCCTTCCTTGGCTCTTTGGGCTTGGGCTGCAGGAAAGACCAGCCATTTGGTCTCCCCAGAGCATCCACCTATGTAACCTCTGACTGGCACTTCAGGAAATGCTGGTAAGGCATTATTTAGGTTCTTAATGTACATATATTTGTTTTGAAAGACTGCCAGACCGGAGAGAGCACTACTTTTGTGATGCAAACAAGATCAATTTAAACTAGAAAAGAGAGATCTGTTCTGCCAGCTGTGCGATTTTAGTTTTGTTCCAAATGAGAGCCTTATAGGTTGTCTTCTACTTTTAACAACAAAGGGTTTTGCGTGGCAGTGCTTTTTATTATTTTTATTACTCTGTGGGGCAGTGATGCCGTTTTGCCCACTCCATTTGGGGTTCTCCATAAGCTACATCCAGATTCTGATGGTATGTGCTCAGAACTGGACTTCTAGGCTAATCACTGCCATCATCACCACTTAGTTGCAACATATGAGCCGAGACCATAGAATAAGTGGATAGGTTCAATTACAGACACACATGCCTGCCAGTGCCAATAACTATTGAATTCCACATATGCATATCTGTGCTCCAACCTGACATGTTGGTGGCCCAGAAGAATGATGGCAGAGGGAAAGGAGGTAGCCGTCCTGCCACTTCATGCTATGCTTGTCCTCCATATCCCTGAACGTAGGTTTAGCGATCTTGCAGAAGAGCACTAGATCTGTGATCAGAAATAGCCCGAGTAACGGCATATATGCAGCAGCGTGCCTACATATATTTCTATTTGACTGAAGGCCTGGAGGAAAGCAAATTGATATGGTCATGAGAAAGATCCCTAAATCACATCAGAGCAAATGATCAGAAATCATCTCCAGTTTGGAGAAGTGATACGGCATTATACACCGTACTTAAAAAACAAAATAAAACCACCTGTCATTTCTTTACCCAACATCTATTAACGTTTAACCGAAATCTAACTTCCAATTGTCTGAAACCTTTCTTTTCCTTCAGAAGAGACTTCAGTTTTTCAACTGGTGCTTTAGCATTTGTTCTGGTGTTTTTGAACATTAGAATTACAGGATGATTAGAAGGAGCTGTGGGTGATATTTTCTATTATACACCATCCCTTCACAACCTCCTTAGCGTCTCCCACTTTCTGAAAAGCCCCCTGGAGGAGTTCACTCATGAAGCAGCTCATAGCAAAGCTCTGTTAGTCAGAAAAAGAAAATGTTTTTCATCTTCATGTGTGGATTTACAAAGAAGGAGAAGGAGAAGAACAAGCGGTCATTGCCCGGGGAAATTCTCTTGGGTGAAGTTCTTGGATTTC